TTAGTAATAATTTAAAGTAATTATTATAAATAAATAATAAAAATAATTACCATTAGTATTATTACTATTTTCAACTTTATTTAAAGATAATAATATAGTGGACGAAGAAGTGTTAGATAAGTGATCAGATGTGGAATTGGTATAATTAGAAAATTGATATAGTTCATCTCGAATTAATTGAATAATTCGATTTTTTTCATCTCGTGCAAAAGCTAAATCTTTGAATCGTGGATCTAAAAATGCTGCTTTTAAAGCGATATCAGATGGAATTCTCCAATATTGATGTAATGCTTGAATAATAATACTTTTAATTCTTTCGATTACACCCTCTGTGATCATTGGCTGACTGATTTGTACATGATTTTGAGTTATAGGATTGATAACTTCTTCTTCATTTTCTTGTTGTTCAACAAATTCTTGTTCGTCTTCATTATCTAATATGATCGTATCTATAACAAAATCTATAGCTTCTGATAATACTAATAAAGTTTCATCTTCAAATACTTTTTGTAATTCAGAAATGATAGAATGCATTAGACTAAGTGTCGCATAGATACTACCACTTAAAAAAGTGGTGACTTCTTCAAATAATCCAAGTAAATTAACTAAATGTTCCATAAAAATCCATTCATCTTCCGTAAAATTAATTTTTTTAAGACGACATCCATCTTTTCTTATTGTACTATCCTGATCTCGTAATAAATCAATTGCCAATTGATTAATTGCATCTTTTAAATAAAGTAATTGATTTCATACTAAATATGAGAAATTCCAATAAGTGCTTACATCACAAACTACATCTAAAATTTTTGGACAGTTTAAGGAAGTCTGGGTTGTTTGAAGTCTTTCTATTTGTTTGGGATATGTAAAAAACCAGTTTAAGTATTTGGCGTGAGAAATAAAAACCAAGGCAGGTGCTAATCCTTTTCCAATTGCGAGCTGAAGTGTATGTGCTGTACATGGTATTCGCGTAATATTATTTAAATATGATATAGCTTTAATCATATTTGATCCATTATCAGTTACAATAGCAATCACTTTTTCCTGCAAGCTCCATTTTTCAATAATTAATTGAATCTTATCTCGAATATGTTCAGCAGTATGTGGATATGGTAAATATTCCAACTCGAGCAAAATATCATAAATTTTAAAATCAGAATTCATAAATAATGCAGTAATACCAATATATCCTTGTTTGATGCAAAACGTCCATAAATCAGTGATAAGTGAAATGTACTTAGCGGAAGATAAAAAAAGTTCTTTCATCGATTCTTCAGTCCAATCATATGCTTGATGAATTAAAAGTTTGAGATTTTTTTCGTTTGGTAATTTGTAGTTCGAATTTAAGTAATTAAAAAAATCTTCAAAAGTAGTATCATCAACGGTATTAATAGGTTTGGTGAAATGAAGAATCCATTTTGTAAGATTGCGATTTGCCACTAGTTGTCGAGTTTCTGTCCAACATTGTTGATTTTGCATTTCTAACATATCTTTAATATTTCCACTTTTTATAGACTATTAAAAGCAATGTATTAATAGATTTTTTTATATTAAACTTGAAACTAATAAAAAAAACTTTACCTTGATATGAAGTTTTCCTTGTTTAATGATAGTATGAATACTTGCAAGATATTGGATAGTATTGCTAGTACTGCTGAAAGCAGTGTGTGTTTTTTAACATAGTTTACTATTCGCAAGATTAAGGGAACAAACCATGATTTTACCAGGTCCACTAGGATTATTTTTTTCGATAAAATATTTCCAAATAAAACTTTTTTTTTAGAACTGCCAGGACGGTGACGTTTTCTTGAGCTTTGAAAGCTCTCATAAGTATTAGTAGTAGTGGTAGCATCAGTAGTGGTGGTAGCATCAGTAATGGTAGCAACCATATTACTGTTGTTACTTACGTGACTTTCTTGGTCCCACTGAGTGTCGTCAAAAGTATTGTTCATTACGACGCATCATGATAGAATAAAAGATCAACCTTATTATTAGTTAAAAATGGTTATAATGCAGTTATATATATCGATATGTATCTCGTTTCTAAAAAAAATATTACATACATTCTGCTCCTCTTCTTAAACCGTATTCTATCAATCAACATGTCTTGTCAAAATTTAATCATTTTTACTTGAAATGCAACTCTGTAATTGAAAATTTGAAGGAATAGGATATGAAAATGGAAAAGATATGAAAAGAGACAGGTAAATAATAAAACTTACCCTGATAGTTGATTATAAACACTCGCACTCTTTAAGTTTACAATTATATTCTGGTAATCAGTCCTATGCTAACGTGTACACTTTTATCAGCAAAATATCTGCTTGATATAAAGTGCTTAGTGACACTTATTAAACACAACATATAATACTAACATTCTCTTCTATACTCGTTCAGTTAGTGTGAATTAAATTGTGCAGAAGCATTCTCATGCTGCTTAAACTTGCCAAGAAACAACGTTAGTCAGAGCATGAAACTGGTCATAACTTTCCATTCTTAATAGTTGCACAATCACCAAGTGTATAGATTGTAGAGTCTGGAACATCTTTTAAAAGCAATCGATTGTCAGTAATAAGTGCACGCGTATTTTTTTGTTTGTCAAGTTTTTCTGATATAGTTCTTGTTAACAAATTCATCACTAAATTCGTTATAAATAAATTAATATTATAATTGAGTAAAATTAAGAGCATAAGAAAATACGATAATCACTGATCCCAATTGATCACAATGTTAATTCATAAGGAAGCTCTTTTTTCCATCAGGGGTCCATCAGACTCATTTCAGCTTAGTGAAATACCCAAACCAATCCACTCACACCTTACAAATGGAAAGCATGCATTAAAAATATACATTACCCATTACTCTTACAAAGCCTGATTGCTTCCTGAGGGTGACCCGTATGACTATTATATTACTAAACTACTAACAACAAACTAAAAACAGCACCAACGTCCAAAAAACTCTACATTGTAAAGAAACGTTAACGGTGATACCTATAAAACTAACAATCTCAGACAGCAACATAGAAATGAACGCGAATGGAAGAGATTCGCAACAAGTACATAATGATATTATCATAAAGCAGCTAGAAATTATGACTGATAATCAGTCAAACACAGCAAATTAGAAAAATAATAGCTATGGAATGCACAAACAAAAATGTAACTTACTGTACTGTGACAAAATCAAGTTGTGTTCGCTGAATAGAAAAACTAAAACGTGGAATTTTAACATAAACGGCCCCAAAATAATAAAAAGAAATAACGACAACACCAGGAAGCCATCGTTCACTCATAAAAGCAGCAAAAGAAACCCGAAATTATTGCGCATTAGGCACAAAATTAACATTAACATTAAAAAAATTAAATTAGCGTTAGGTTGAAACAATGTCCAACAGTGATCAAAATATAGTAATAGCGATATATCGATCGATATACGTAGTGATAAATATTGATTTATTGTATGCATATCGATATCGATATTGTGTATTATATAATTGAGTAATCCGATTATTGTTTTTAATCGATTAATCGTAATTGTTGATTATATCCAGATTAGTCGATTAATCGTAATTATCGATTATATCCAGATCAGTCGACTAATCGTTCAATTTACTTCCTAATCGATTAATCGTTGTTATGAATAGGAACATTCAGATAGTCATATTATTTATTATAACTTCTATAATTTCTATAATTTCTATAAATTCTATAATTTCATAATTTCTATCATAACAGTAATTACTGTAATTACTGTAATTACCGTCATCGCTGTCATTTCTGTTATAGATATTTTTATCATCATAGTTAACTTTATTATAATCACTATATTAACATGTAATAAATAGTAAAAAAAGAAAGTTTAATTTTATTATAAATACCAGAGTAACTGATGCTTTGAAAAAGGTATCAATTGATCAAGGTACAGCTAGTTAAATAACTCGCTCTTAGTTATTGTATTGTTACCATTCTACCTTTCATTAATCATATCACGTTATATATTCTTAGCGCAGTAATATTCATTTAAACTTTTTCTTTTATTTTTACTTTTCTATTTCTTTTTATTTTTATCCAATAGCATTAATTTACATTTTTATCCAATTATTTTACATTATTATCGCATCATTTTTATTTAAATTTCATCATCATTTAATTTACCAATCAATTCATACTATTATTGCATCATTTTATATTTTAAATCTAATTGGTACTTTATTTTTATCTTTTGTTACATTAATTTAATTAGCGACACATAGATTT